AAAGATAAAGAGTATGGCCTAGACCCTAGGGGCACACAAAGGAAACGCCACGCCACAAGCGATCTGCCCACAAGCCCAAAGCAGGACTCACTGCACTGCCCATGGGCTCTGGCTCTAGCTTGCACTGAAGTGAGCGAACTGCTTTCCTAAAGGACTGTGAAGAGCTATGAACGCGTATTTTTCATTAGATAAACAAGGCAGAGATTTTGAAGCTTTAGCCTTAATCCTGTTATTATTGAAGTTAATGGCAAAAACTCCAAGAAACAGACCATGATCCATTCTGTCCATCAAGAGAATCAGCAGCATTCAGCTTAATCACAGAACTGCAACAAATTATTAAACCTTTGGGGAAAAAGGCAGCAGCAATCTAACATTTATTTGATATTCCCATTAGCAGCTAATGGAAGAAGGAGTTTTCAGAACCTGCCCACACCACAGAAAGCTGCTGCACAAATCCTCCCAATATCGATGTGGCTTATCTGTCCAGCACAGACCTTTACAACCAGTTGTGCCACCATCAACATTTTGAAACAGATAACTTGTTTGGATCTATCCAAGCTAGGAATCCATCTTTCTTTGCAGTTTAATACTCACTCTGACTTCCAGACACATCTGCCCTCTGAGCAATGAAGCTTTCCTGTACAGGGAGGTGACAGAGATGGCTCAGGACATCCATCCACACCACATCATGCTCTGCTGGAAAGGCTGAAGGGGAGTTCAGACAAAATCTTCCCAAGCCAGCTACTTATTTAACAGTGCTCACAAACCACCTGTGCTCCCACTTCCAGTGAAGACATATCTTGTAGTCACATCATGGTTTCTGAAGCAAAATCTTGCATGAAGGATGTCGGTCCCTTTTACAGAGTATAATGCTGTAGAATCAGCATTCCATCCCTGGGGTTGAATTTTCTGCCACTGTGCCGATAGTTGGATTCTCATGAGCAGGTTCCCAATCACCCTCATGAAACAATTTTCCAGAAGTTATTTTCACCATTATCCGTTATCAAGTGAAATCTTCCTAAGTAGCCATTTGGGCTTTATCAACCCTAAGGTCAACCACAATTTAGGTGAAAGACTGATTACTTCCAGGAAAAGCAAAGCAAGTTTTGCTCCCACAATCCAGGGCTATGGACAAACTGCGAAAGCTGATGTGTGAAGAAAGTAAAAACAGGTTGGATTTCTCTGACATCCTGAAGGACTGGCAGTAGTAAAAACCTAGCTCTGACATGAGCAAGAGACAACATACCAGAGCTGCCATGGGAGTAACAGCGAAACCAAAACACTGCATCTTGTCATAAAGCAAAGAACTCATTTCAGGGAAGGAACACTTTCAAAAGGTGCTGAGAGAAGGATAGCCACAAAGGTGGCTGAGGGCACAGGGAGGTTTCAAAGCCCTACTGTGCTTGGTGCACAGGGATTTGGTTTATGTGACTCCAAACACAGAGGAAAGGTGAAACAAGTCAGATCCAGAGATTAATTTCTTGGAGATGGGAAGACAAAAGAGAAAGAATCAGGAAATATGGGAGATGGACAGGAGGACAGAGAAAAGCTACACTCACTGCTTGCCTTTAGCCTCTTTGCCAAGCAGAGAACGGGATTCTCTGTTCAATTTCTTTGTATTTATTCATGTCAATAAAATCAGCTTTGTACCATCTTGGCAACATCTTCACTAGCCTTCCTTGCATCTGACATGCCACTACGGAGTTGGTGTCAGTCTTCATCATGGAATGGGCTTGCAAAATATCCATTGCAGATCTATCTGATCTCTGAATTATTTGAGTACATTAACAAAAAAGCTGCTAATGCCAACCTACTCAGTGTAATTTGTTTGGATGACCAGAAAGTCTTTGAGAAATTGTAGCTGCAGAAAGCAACTGATGAAAAAGAAGAAATGGGCTGCCAGACAGGGTTTGGTACTGCACACATAAGATTTATATAGAAAGAAGAGCACGGAATGGAGTATGTGGTCAGCAACTCTTACGGCACAGTTTAACAGCAGCACATCCGCAGGCTTAGAGCAGGTGTGGTACTCACATGACACAGCCCTACTGCAGGCACTACAGGGATGGAGAAGCTGCCTCTGCACAGCTGGGTGGCAGGCTGCTTCCCAGCATGGCTGGCAGCCAGCCGAGCCATGCAACACAATCCTGCTCCCAAGGGGGCCAGAAGAGCTGTTTAGAAGACACCATGAAGGGCAGTCTGAAAACATGAAATGCTCCTACAGCACTCTAGGCACAGGCACAGTGTGACAGAGCCAAGTGAGAAGTAATAACAAAACGAGGCCACACAGTCAAGAAAGCCACATCTTTTGCAGTGCTAGAAAGAAGTGTGAGTAGCCGAAACCCAGGGAGACTCTTCATCAAAAGAACCCAGCCTGAACCTCCCAGGAGAGCCAGGAGCTGCACTTTGCTCTTGCCTTGTGGGTCCCATCCATCACTGCACTGAAACCAAGTTCCAGCTACATGGCAGTGTACTCTTTTTTCCCAGCCTGTAGTTGCATCCTTTGTACAGGCCTCTTTGCACAGAAGTGGCTGCTGTGGCCTTGCTTTGGGCATCCTTCAAGGTAGAAGCATGTGTGATTCAGTACAGCAGTATGGACACACGACTTCATGAGTGCTGAGAGTCCATGTCCTGGGCTGCCTTCTCTGCTGGGAGCCGTCCATGACGTTTGCTGGTGATGACAGTGGCTGGCTGTCCCTCCCAATGCTGCTGAGCTCCTCATTCCATCATCTCAGGCTCCAGGTAAGCTCACCAGAGAGGCTGTGCTGTGCAGAGCACAGAATCCTTCCAGATGCCCTAGAATCAGTGTAGCGACTGTGCCACCTTGTGCCAGGAATATTTACAGATGTGTTTTAATCTGGCTCCTCCTAGATTTTTACAAACACACAGCTCTTGCTCTGACTTTTCTCTAGTGAGGCCAACCAGGGCTCCATGCCTCCTCCTCTTCATGGTCCAGCACTTCCTTCTGGCAGGCAGAGTCCAGCTGAGGCTGCACCTCCATCTCAGGTGAAAGTGGCTGCCTTGTGCAGGCTGTGTGGTGAAGAAAAGTAGTCCGACAGTTCTCTCTGCCTGTGACAGATCTGGCAATCCCACTGATTATCACCGATGCTAGAGTAAATGAGACATGCACAGTACAGCAAACTAGCATCACTGTCCTGCTAACCATGAGAATGGTAGCCTAGGCAGGAAACAGAAACACAGGATTTAACAAAAGCCAGCCCTACCCTACCTAGAATCTGTATCTCACTGCTTTAGAAAAAGATCCAGGGTTCACAGAGGGCAAACAACTGAGCAGGAACTTCATTGAGATGAGCCTGCATGTGCAGGAGGGAGTCAGAAGCAATGTTTTCCCTCCTGTACCCAGTCACGCAGAAGCGTGAGCCCCACAGACAGGAAGGGGCATGTGTGGAGAAGACCCTGGAGGTCTTCTAGGGCTCAAGAAAACATTTTTGCAGTCTTAGATTCAAAGATTGAATCTCCTTAACCTCCAAGAAGAAATTTAAATGTAATATAGATATAGTGAGCGCCTACCCAGAAGATGCAGCACACTACGTAGTTCTTAAATCTGATGGAGAAAAGCAGGAAAATAACTAGTGGCTACAAGCTGAAGTCAGGCAACTTCTAGGCAGAAGCCATGCACACATCTTTACACTGGAGGGCAGTGAACATACCCCCATGGGATGTGGCTGGCTTATAACTGCTTCTGATTAAGAGTGAATGCTCACTAAAGCTGGACTTTGGTGAGACCTAAAGGGTTGAGCTCAGCATGCAGAGAAACCTCAAGTCCATCGCCACCCAGGGGAGGCATGGGATGGTCTATTGGCACTAAACTACTAATGGTTTGGGGGTTTACATTTTACAAATCCACAGACGCTATATGCCATTGTCATGCTAATGCAAGCTGTGTCTATCCTAAATGTCCTGGAGAACCATGCAGGAGAGCTCAGACTGACTAGGGGATAGTTCCTGTATTTATGAGATAAGAAAGATGGAAATGTTTCAACAAGGGAAAGCCGTGTGATGCACGGGAAATTGCCAGATGTTTCTATCACCAGCAGCAGTACAGGGGATCAGAAATAAGCCCACAGGCATGCACATCTGGTTTTATTTCATTTCAGACTCCAAAAGGTGAATTAGGATTCCTTTACAGAAGCACTATAAAGTGCTTCTCTATTTAAAGATCAGCTCTCCCAGGCCACCCCAAAGCTGGTGACGCCAATGGCAAGACTTGTTCAATGAGAAAGAAGTCAAACACATATACAAGGACAAAGATACATGCAGGCAAGGCATGACAGAAACTCCAAGTTTATACCAACTACAATCCTGCACTGCTAGGAGATCCCAGGTCTCACTGTACCAATGCTCACGTTGGACATTAACAGAGCTCCACACTCTGTGCATAACAGGCCAGGGTTGTCTGAGACACATTAAGGTGCTTTTCAGATGAAAGACACGGAGAACCATTTTGCAAAATAAACACAGAACAGGATACCTCATACCTTCCCTCTTCTGTGGGCTTTTCACCACGTCTCATAGGGACCCAAGAGCACCAAGGCAATGCCACTGGCAGGCAACAACAGAGGGAAGGACAGGGGGGTGTACGGGACGAGCCGAAGAGGCAGCCATGCACTATGCCCGTCCCTTGTCTCTCACATTCCCCAAGGTCCTGGCAAAGGAGCAGGAGAGGGGAGAACAGCAGAGGTGTGCTCAGAACAAAAACAGACCAAGACAAAGAAATCCCATCAAAATAGTACAGTCTCTGAGGCTCAAGCATTGCACAAAAGGAGGATCAGAAGTAAGCTGGGCGCTAACAGGAGAGGTGACACCGGGACAGGGTGAGAGCGAGGATACGGAAGGGCAGAGAGTCAAAGTCCATCCATCCACATGAGGAGGAGAAAAGGAAGGGGGGGAGGAGGAGAGAGAGGGTTATATTTTCTGGATTTGGGGTTTGGAGACTTGACTCTATTTGTTTTGGGTTTTTTTCATAAAGGATCTCACACCTGATATTCCTCGTTCCATCCATTTCGGCTCACCAAGGGCAATGAAGAAATTCTCCTGCCTTTCGTATTCCTCCTCATCTACTATCTTAACCCTTACGGTCTTCCTGTAGGGACAACAAGAGAGACAACCGTGTACAGTGGGTCAGTGGGCCACAGGTGACGCAGCGGCGGCGGCAGCAGCGCAGGCTCCTGGCGTGCGGCCCCTTCCCACAGGGCAGCGCGCCTTGGCCGGCCTCTTGGACATGGCGCATCGGTTGCAGCTCCTCGGGGAGCAGGAGGGCGTTAGGGGGAGACAGGGCTGGCAGGGAGGTGAGGAGGGAGGGGGAAGGTGGGGTGGGACCTTGCTGATGGTTAGTGGGAGGCGACTTCTGCAGCACATTTTTCGGTGTCACATGGTAATTGGAAAGGGTATCAGCTGTCTGGATATCAACAGGAGCCACGCTGGGGTACCAATTGCATTTTAGCTGGAAGATTGATTGTTTCTGCTACTCTCACAATTAACAAAGGGACTGTGGGCTCAGAGCTTGAGAAAAAAGAGAGCCACATACTCACAGCCATGTTCCCCTGTGGGGTGAGGCTACAGCACTGCTAGCTGCAGCAGGCTAGTGTTTCTAATCCCCAGTTTTAAAGCAGCACATCTCATTGCTTCTCCTCCCTAATGCTGCCTGTCTCCTCCCCCAGCTTCTTCTGTGACTAAGGGACGCAGCTCTTGGAGCACGGCTGCGTGATGAGTTCTGGATACACTCAATGTTTCTAGTGAACATCTTCCCCCACCAATACAGACTCTTGGCCCTTCTCATCAGTGGAAACATTCATTGAAAAATATTCCCACTGAGGACCATTCTTCTTTCTCCATTCTTTCTCTCCCACAACGTCTGCCCCAGGCTCCCCTACTGTCCCCATTTCCCCCACTCCACGGGTACCATGTGACACAGTGAGTGCACAGCAGTGTTTAGGACAGAGCAGTTGGAAACAAAGAGAAGTCAGAGGAAGAGGAGGAAAAGTGGAGGAAGGAGAAGAGAGAAGAAGAAAGAAGAACGTTAACGTTAGTCTGGAGGGCCAGTACTACACCTTTCTGTAAACTCATATCCACCATGCGGGGGCTCATCAGCTCAATGAAGAAACTCTTGTTTTTTTCATACTCCTCATCATCAATTACTTTGATGTGAATTGTTTTGCTGTGGATGGAAAAATAATAGTAAGCATCATAAAGGGGAGAGGGGAACAGAGGAGCAAAGTGGAGCAAGGTTGGGAGCTGAACAGGAACATTAGAGAGTCAAAGTTTTCTCACCCACCGGAACGAGCTCAATGTGGCTCTGGAGAAGGCTAAAGCCCACTGCTGCCAGCAGTACTGACCAATTTCTGTTTAGCAAGCAGGCCCGAGGGCAGGGCATGCTATGCAGAATGAAGAGAGACCCAAACAGCTCTGACTCAAGAGCCAGGGCTGGGCTGCACCATGCAGGAGAGGAGCACACTTCACCCACACCACTGCTGCTACACACACACACACACCGAAGCACACGCACACCACTAGCTTGGCTCCTGCTGCCTTTTGTGCATAACTGGTCTCGGCTGTGGATGGCAAGGATGAGAACAGCAGTACTGGCAACTGAAGAACCTGGAGAAATAGCCCCAGGCATCAAATGACAGCGTGCCTCAGCTCCCCAAGCTGAGCTGCTGCTTCTGCTCACGTGCTCACAGATAAGACAGAAAGTACTATTCTCTGTGCCCGATTATGAAAAGGACTGCGGCCCTATAGCCTTGCTCCCTTAAGCAGAGGTATTAAACACAAGTGGTGTCTTTGGCCCCATAGTGCTTCAGAGACTAAATGATCCACTCCTGAATCCTGGGGATGCTGCAACCCACACATCTGCCAGCATCCCCCTGAAAATCACCATTTCACAGTGAAAAATGGGCAGGTTGATTGCCTTTCATTGCTGCAACTTGCATTCCTACTGCTAACAGTAACAACCACAAAGTTATCCAGTCTCTCTCCAATTTGACTCACCTACATCACAACGGGAACTTCCACTCCCTGTGCTTGGCTCTTGTTCTGGGATGTCTTTCAGATGATGGCATATGGGATAGAGGGAAGAGTTTTAACAACCCCTGCTAAATCCATCAGTGTATGAATATGCAAAAAAAGAATGTCACCTCTAATTCTTCTAAGCTAAATCAGCTTCATTTTTGCCAGTGCTTGCTCTACCAATATGCTGCACTAATGCCAGCAAGCCTCCTTTCCCTTCTCCAGACCCCTTCAAAATTCTCTAATCCAGCCTGAAGGATGTAGGATTTTAAATGAGAGGTCTCTGTTGTAAAAGTCAGTGCTTTGCTAAGACTTCATCAGAGTGATTTCATTGTGTTTTCTTTGGAGAGGTTGATGGAATATCGCCTTTGAACCAGATGTTGTCTGGGCCTCTGATACTTTGCAAAGCTTTTTCAATTTGCTGAATTAAATATACATCTGATTCATAGCTCTGATCTTTTTCTTGCTCTCATGCTACAAAACAGAAGGTGGGATTTTCAAAAGCAGCCAGCACTTCCTGAATAAGTGTTGCTTCTTAAAATCCCATTCTTAATTATTATTGCTTACTGCTTTCCACTCCAAGATCCTCGTGTTACTTGTCTCCAGAATCAAAGTCATTCTAAAGCTTAATGTAATGCTTATTAAGCATATACACAATTTGGGTTTCACACACTAACTTTCTTTTACCTTTCTTTTTTTTCTTTTTTTTTTTTTTTAAATGAGGTGACTGTCCTGTTTATATCAGTAGTACGTGCACATAGCAGAGCAGAGGAGAAATGCTCATTTAATGAGAAAGTGTGCATGGCAGATATCTCTACGGCTGTGCTGTGTTGGAAAGCCTGACTTCCCATAATCCACCTGCCTGCACAACACACACACAAAGCTGTGGACTTAAGGAATAATGACTCATTGTGTGCCCATTTTGTTAACTAGAGAACTCTATATGGTATGCTAAGTAGTCCCACAGTGATGAGAATTCCTTATAGTGGTCTTTTGAAATGTTTTGTGTTTACTTGTTTTTTATTAAAAGCCAAGAATGAGAAAGAAAACACAGTGAGGACCATAGAAAGGATGCGTGATAAAATGCTGACTCTGCAAAAAGAACTCTCCTGGGGTTGGGACATTGCATGCTTTCCTATGACAGCCAGGCAACCTCTCCCTACAAGAATTCTGCTTGTCATATGGCTGTCTCCTTGAGCTTCCTTGCTTTGCAGGGACACAGAAAGGTAGGACCACACATAATTACTAAAAAATAAAATCAAGTAAAGGGCTACTACCTCTAACTCACCCTCTTCTTTTTTTTCCCCTCCTTCCTTTGGGTTCGTACATACTGATGTCTGCTTGCTGCCAATTCCCAGTCAGTACCTGCTGCCCTCTTCCCAGCCTGCCTTGCCCTAGCTCTCCATCCCACAGGAGCAAAAGAACACCATCGCATGTTCAGTCTGACTGCACAAACAGCTTTACCTTCCTTGCATGCCACTGGCATAATTAAGACAGGACATAAGCACTGTATCTTTCAAAGTCCAGTCCTCTCCCAGTCCCTTTTCCACCTGCAATGCAATGAAGTTCAACCATGATCCAAAGTAAGGGCTGTTCAGAGGAGAAAATCTGTACAAGAAAAAATGTCATTTGTGACAGCATCCCCTGCCTGGTGATGGTTGGTTCTCATGGAAATGACTGAGGTTTGAGCAATGATAGCATCACTCAGACTTGGTTGAAAGTGAGCTTGTCACAAGGGAAAGATCAGGAAGGAAAAGAAATAAGAAAAAAAACCCAAACAACCTACACCTTTGCTAGAATACCTTAGGTGTACTAGGTAAGGCCAAAGGAAACAAGAAAAATATTCAGATTTTCTCTTCTCTGTGAAGAGAAACAGATGCTCAAGCTTTGTCCTGTCCAACTCAAAGGCAGCAACTCCTCACAATATCTAGTAAGACCTCTATATAAGCATTAGTACTCTGAACTCCTACATCAGCTCAGTGGCAAACTGGATCATCTCTGCACTGATGGTTTTTCAAAAATGGTGTCTGAATTTGGCAACCAATTCAATGGCCATCAGCTTGTCTGTCCAAGAGCTGGGGACATACCATGTGTTGAAGCTCGGCGGTGGAGCACTTGTATGCTCCCTGTCCACAGGCTCCATCTAGCCACGGTTACCTCTGTCAGCTTCATCTCACTCATTTCCCTAAAATGAAGGTGAAGGAGCCAAACACAAGCACAGGGAAAACACTGCAGCCCTCAGCCAACCTCAGGCCCACAGGAGAAGGTACCCCAGGGTAGCAGTACATCTGACCTGCACAGCAAGACTATTGGACTGTGAAAACTCCAGGACCCGGCACAGGAGCCCAGGGGTGTGGGCTGTGTGACAGGGACACTTCTGTGGCTTGGAACCCTGATACCACATGTGGGTGAATGGTACAGGCACTGCCTGCTCCTTAGCCAGGTTGTTTCCTGTGCAGCCTGCAAGGAGCTGGGCCACGCTTGCTTCCTTGTGGGGAAGTGCCCTTTTCTCAGCAGATCACTGGGCCAGTGACTGTCACTGCAGAAATGTCACCACTGATGGAGGGCAGTTAAGGATTCCCAGGCTCTGTGACAACTCTGGCTGCTGAGAGTATTCCAATTCCTCTCCCTGATGAGATCTGCACCATACTTTGCTCAGCTTTGCAACTTTTGCACCCCACTCTGATGGCTCTGCAATGGGAAAAGAAGATATTTGCTATCTTTCCCCTTTCTGACAGCTCCATCATGGCCCAGACACACCTCAGACAGCTCTAAAACAGATAACAATAGAACATCATCCAAAAGTCTGTCCTAGCAGTCAACTGCCTTCATTAAATGCCTCCAGGAACTAGCAGCAAGAAATCATTCTGCAAACCCCAAAGCTCCAGTACCAGCACCAAGCCACAGCATAGCTCAATCCCAGCCCCAAGATGGCTTAATATGTGAAAGCACTCTCACTCAGTCCTCAGTGGTGCTTTCAGCAGACTGAGCAATTCTTTTAGTTTGGACAAGCATAGGTAGCATCCTTCTGCATGTCTGCCTATGGGTCAGACAGGGCCTGGCAAGTACCATCTCCAAGAACACTGAACCATGCTCACGTGCCACCAAGAGCCCCCATGGTGCCAGTCTGGGCTCTCCTTTAAACATGCATTTAAAAACAATCACTGTTTTCAAAAGTTAGAGATGGGAAAGCTCCCCTCCTGGGGAGCAACATTAAGAACGAGATTTCCCTGAGTAAGCAACAGAAGATGAAATGAATAGACATCGATCTTCTCCTAAAGGACTTTGAGCGCATGATGTTGCTAAATTCCCCGTCTGGGAAGTACAGAGGATAATCTATAAAATCATTTTATTTGACAACACGTCCACTTCTAACACATAAGGCAACAACTGGATGGTTATTTGATTAATGTGCTAGAAAATATTGAGTATCTCTCTGTGTGGAGACTCTCATTTGCAGGAATTATTGCAGAGGAGGTTAAGAGGATGTGTCTGCATGACTTTGGAATGTGAAATAAGGCTCAGCTCTAAAAACAGCGTAAGTCAGGAAATGTCACATAGAGTATACCATTGAAACAGGCAGGGTTGTGCAAGGGCAGAATTTAGAGTCCCCGGTGGGATGCTGTTAGCCAGGATGGAAAGCAGCCAGGACAGCAAGGTAAACGTCCCTAGGACAGCGAAAAGTACCAGGAGATCTTTAGTAACTCATTAATGTGAATCATTGGAGCACACATCTTGGGTCAAACCATGTCACCCTGAATGCACCGTGATACACCCAGACTCTCACCTGACTTGCTGTGCGTGCAGGTACCTGCAGCATGAGTTTCAAAGTTTCAGCACTACTGTCTGACTTGCCCAGAGCTCAGCACCTGCTGGCACCAGGATGGCTTTTCAACCCAGAACTATGGATAGGACCTATTCTCTCTGCCAGAAGATCTCATTGAGAAGTTCTGTGGCAGAAATGCTGACTAGGTAAGATATCAGAATGCGAGGCAAACAAGAGAGGATTAAATAAGGCTAGGTATAGGGGGGAGCTGTCTTTGCCCAGCTCATTGGGAGGCACATATTTAACAAAGCAATGTGACACAGTGCTGGCAGACAAGGTGAAGAAGACAGCAAGAGAAACACTGATATGATGCACACGGTCACAGA